TCCCAGCCATCCCTTCCCCCTGCTCCGAGGCCAGCAGGAGCTGTGGGTGCACAGGCAATGAGATGGGGTGTCCTTGCGGGACCCAGGCGTCCGGGGGCACCACTTGGTGCAGGCTCAGCCCAGATCCCGTGAACGTCTCCCACCCCCATCCAAGGAGAGAACCCAGTCCCCTAACCCAACTCCAAGCCACCCACTGCTGGCGTGGCCCCACGCCCTGCCCCAGCCTGCTGTCCAGGTGCCCCCAGCTCCGGCACTCGGGAAAGACCCCTCGCTGGACCCAGGCATCCGGGTGATCAGTCTCCCTTGCCCAGAAAGGACGAGCGGCACCTGGGAACACCTGGACAGGACCCAGGAGTCCAGAAGGTGAGGTCCCTGCGGGGGGACGAGAAGAAATCCAGGAGAAGGGCTCCATGGAGAGGGGGGAATCCAGAGAGGGGGGGGACCAGGGATGGGGAAGGAGGTTCCCTGGGGGGGAGGGGAGAGATGGTGAGTGCTCACCTGGATGTGTCCAAAGTCCACGGCCTCATAGTGGAAGTGGGCGCACTCAGCCAGCTTGGGGAAATGGGCTCGGGTGATGGACAGCCTGGGGGGAAAGCAGGACACCCCAGTGTGTCCCCCACAGCACCCCACGGTGTCCCACTCCCTCTGTACCCTCTGAACCTCCCACAGCACGCTCTGTACCTCCCACAGCACCCCACGGTGTCCCACCCCCGCTGTAGCCCCACAGCACCCCACGGTGTCCCACCCCCGCTGTAGCCCCACAGCACCCCACGGTGTCCCACCCCCGCTGTAGCCCCACAGCACCCCACGGTGTCCCACCCCCGCTGTAGCCCCACAGCACCCCACGGTGTCCCACCCCCGCTGTAGCCCCACAGCACCCCACGGTGTCCCACCCCCGCTGTAGCCCCACAGCACCCCACGGTGTCCCACCCCCGCTGTAGCCCCACAGCACCCCACGGTGTCCCACCCCCGCTGTAGCCCCACAGCACCCCACGGTGTCCCACCCCCGCTGTAGCCCCACAGCACCCCACGGTGTCCCACCCCCGCTGTAGCCCCACAGCACCCCACGGTGTCCCACCCCCGCTGTAGCCCCACAGCACCCCACGGTGTCCCACCCCCGCTGTAGCCCCACAGCACCCCACGGTGTCCCACCCCCGCTGTAGCCCCACAGCACCCCACGGTGTCCCACCCCCGCTGTAGCCCCACAGCACCCCACGGTGTCCCACCCCCGCTGTAGCCCCACAGCACCCCACGGTGTCCCACCCCCGCTGTAGCCCCACAGCACCCCACGGTGTCCCACCCCCGCTGTAGCCCCACAGCACCCCACGGTGTCCCACCCCCGCTGTAGCCCCACAGCACCCCACGGTGTCCCACCCCCGCTGTAGCCCCACAGCACCCCACGGTGTCCCACCCCCGCTGTAGCCCCACAGCACCCCACGGTGTCCCACCCCCGCTGTAGCCCCACAGCACCCCACGGTGTCCCACCCCCGCTGTAGCCCCACAGCACCCCACGGTGTCCCACCCCCGCTGTAGCCCCACAGCACCCCACGGTGTCCCACCCCCGCTGTAGCCCCACAGCACCCCACGGTGTCCCACCCCCGCTGTAGCCCCACAGCACCCCACGGTGTCCCACCCCCGCTGTAGCCCCACAGCACCCCACAGTGTCCCACTCCCTCTGTACCCTCTGAACCTCCCACAGCACGCTCTGTACCTCCCACAGCACCCCACGGTGTCCCACCCCCTCTGTACCTCCCACAGCACCCCACGGTGTCCCACCCCCTCTGTAGCCCCACAGTGTCCTACCCCCGCTGTACCTCCCACAGCACCCCATGGTGTCCCACCCCTGCTGTGCCCTCCACTGCACCAAGTACCCTGATCCCCTGCTGAATCACGTGGCACTAGGAACCCTGATCCATCGTTCCCCCCCTGCCGTATCCCACGCAGCCAGGGTACCCTATGCCCTCCTGGTACCCCCAAAACCAGTTACCTCCCACTGTGCTGCAGGCCCTGGGACAGGAACAGGGACAGGGACAGGGGAGCCTGATGAATCCCTAATGGGCCCTGCAGAGCAGAGACCTGACCATGGGAGAGAGGTAGGGCCGGGCAGGGAAGCAAGGAGGGGCTGGAACAGCTGCCCCAGGAGAGGCAATGGCCCCACACAGCTCAGCCTGGGAAGGAGCTGACAGGGGAGGCCAGACGGCTCTCAAAGCCTGTCTGAGGTGGGGGGAGTGATGGGGGGGTACTTTGCCCCTTCGCCAAGCCCACGGGCAGGTAAGGAACAGGCAGCAGGGCTAAGATGGAAGGAAGAGCTCTGGCACCCAGCGAGCAGGCAGCCTGTGGAACTCCCTGCCACAGGATGGGGGGGCCACAGTGTAGCAGGTGCAACAGAGACAGAGCTGAGTGTTGGAGGTGGGACATCAATGGCTGTGAGCTGCCTCCGTGCTCTGAACAGCCCTGCTGTCTTCCTCGGGCCCCCATTTTGACCATAAGGCCGCCCCAGCCTGGCTGCTCTTAGGGTTGAGCTTAGTACAGGGGCATTCCCGTGGTACCCCCGCTCCCCGTGCTACCCCACCCCCCATGGGTGCCCACCCGCCATGCCATCCCACACAACCTGGGGAGCCCACCTCCCACACTACCCCGCACAGTACGGGGTGCCTGCCCCCCATGCTACCCCGCGGCACCCGCCCCCACACTACCCTGCACAGCCCGGGTGCCCGCCCTGCCCCCACACAGCACAGGGTGCCCACTCACCATGTTACCTCTTCTGCCTCAACTGTACCCCAACGCCCAGAGAACCAATCCCTGTTCCTCTGTACCACAGCCGGGGACTACAACCCCCCAAATCCATCCCCCTCCACTGTCCCCCAGCCCTCATCTGGGGGCACAGGGCTACACCTATATCCAGCCAGCCAGTGTACAGCACCCTCGATACCCAATTGGGTAACAGCCACATGCCTCTGTGGTCCTGGGACCCCAACACTCAGACACCCCAGGGCCTCCCTCTCCCCCCATATCCCAGCCTGGAACCCCCTCCACACACACAGACCCCCCATATCCCAGCCTGGAACCCACACCCGACGAACCACACGCACGGAAAGAGAGCAG